CAACATACTTTTAACCATTTTTACAGTCAACAAAATGTGGTTATTACACAGGGTCAGAAACCACATAAGCATGTCTATTTGAAATTACTACATGTTAGCTACATTAGTCCCATAGTCTCAGTGCAAAACTAGACATCAAACATGTCTTGGCTGATCACTGACATTTTGGGGCAAACTATGTATACAAGATTTTTTGCTGAACTATTTATTTCCTTAAGTACATCACACTACTTGGAAAAGCACTTCATTTTCATCAAACACCAGAAGAGTATTAGTAATGCACTAATGGCAAAATCACATTTGTGTTTGAAAAAAGGTTTTCCTTGGAATAATAAAAAAGGTCAACTTATGTTTAAAAAAATTATTTGCATGTTGTTCATGTGTTTTTTGCACCAAAAGTATTCTCACCAAGGCAAAGTGAGACAGAAATGGCAGATTTGTTTTTCTTAATCAAGGAATACACAGATACATACTCAATTTATAACGCAAAAACATTCCCTAGGCAACAAAAGAGACCATTTAAACATGTTTACAGGTTGCTTTTCTCAGTAAATTTATACACATTGGGAAAAAATAAGACCTAACTTATTAAATGTGCCATAACGTCTGTATATGCCATATTTCTGTTTCTGTTGTCTTTCACAATATAATAAATTCAGTAAATAATTTGAAGAAGTTTGTTCTCTATAGAGGATATGTTAACTTATTTTCACTGTGAAAATCAGCAAAATGTAATTTGACAAGGGGTGCCAAAACTTTTGCATATAGCTGTATATATACAATTGCATGTGTCAGTTTTGGCACACTTAGTTTATTTAGAAATTATACATTTCACTTTCCAAGTGAAAAGAAGTGAACACATATGTATGAAATATTTCTGCAAATTTTAATGGACAATCATTATTTATTTGCAGAAATTATCATAATGGAATAAAAAAAATTTAATACACCCTGGATGAAATCAGCCGTGTAGCCAGCTAACAGTTTTTCTATTCTTGATTTAGGTGGGGTAAGAGCAATTCCAAAACTTAAATCTTTAATTTCTTGAAGTAGTTAAAAGTTGATGTTGAGGAATGTTTTTGACTACTGCCCTGTAATTTACAACTTCTTCTCCTTATCCCCACATTTCTTGTGCCTCTGGTTGACACACAAGCCCATAAGCATAACAGATCCACCCCCATGCAAGGTTACATAATTCATTACGCTCTGGAGTTTTCTACACCTGATTTGGATTAAGCCCTAAAGAGTCAAATAGACCTTAGCTAAGACCTTAAAAAATTACCACTTGTGATGCAACTGAAAGGGCGACCAAACTTTTGGACACAGCACATTTTATGTTAGTTTTTTCCCCAATATTTAAAATTCAATACATGTGAATTCAGGCTTTGACTTATATATTGCTTTAATGAAATATATTTTAGCCAACGGGAAGTCTCATAATTTTTACACCAGCAAAACAACAGTTAAGCACTACCAAAGTCATTTTAGGAAAGTATGCTCACTCAGTGACCATCTTGACAGTTATTTCCTGTAATAATACAGGACCAGACTCCGTGAATGCGGAGAGACCTAAAATTCAAAACTAAAGGCCAAATTACCACTTTAAAATATATGAAGTCACTGGTAAACTCTGACAAGAATCTCATGAATAGTTTGTACTGTTTGGCTCAAATAACACACGTGAAATGTTTTTTCGGGTTGTTCTGGCTACTGCGCAGATCTTCATAACTAAGGGGGTCATTTCTCGCTTGTGGCTTCACCAGCAAGCCGATTTGGCTGTTTTTTTTCAAAGCTGGGACTTTCCCCATAAACACATGCCATATTGTGACATTGAGCGTTTGCGAACTGTTGAATTATTGAACTGTTGGCAATTGTTTTTTTCATTCTAAATGGTACCCATATGGAAAACTGTAGGTTTTCCGTTTCAGTCACTGCACTGCAACAGTGACATTCATCCCCTAGGAGAACCAGGGACAGACAGAAATCATAGACCAGTTTCAAATTATGTAGTAGACAGCTTTATTTTACCTCAAATGAGAGTTATGACTGCTTCTCTTACATTCTGTTCTAAGCGTGGAGGATATGTCACTGAGCAACATTAATTCTGAGCTGTAATTCTGTTCTGTTTGATTTAATGTGACGTCTGAAACCAGAAATGAAAACTTTGAGGCATGTAGAAACAAGGCCACAGTAAGAAAGAGATGACGGCTGTCTCTGTTCTAATATATGTACTTAATACAAACAAAACTATTCGATGCATATATATATATGTGCGTATATATATATATGTATATATATATATATATATATATATATATATATATATATATATATATATATATGTTTATTGTGGCTGGACCCCTTAACAATAACAGTAACAATCACATAGTATTTTGCCATTTTATTTACCGAATGACTAAGCAAAGTCTCAACTCCAGCTTTAAGGCCAGCTTAGGTGCTGAACTGATGAATAAAACAAACAAGTATTAGTCATCAGTGCCAAAACATCCAAACAAAGATTGGTCACTTTAAAATATGCCCCTCCTCCCACTTTTTTGCTGGCTCTGCCTCCATATCTGCATCAGATCCCATGTCTTATTTTCAGCCTTCAAAGAGCTCCAACAAAACACTGCTTTACATGACAATGTATGTCCTTTCTTTTTTATTCTGTTTCTTTAATTTTGTTATGTATTTCATGTGAGTCACTAGAATCACTTTGAATAAAGCAGATCAACACAGTGCACTTTGCAGTTTATCATGTATATTTCAGATGAGGCCCGACAATAAATCAGTGCCACATTCCATAGTAGATAATAAAGTGACACATATACTACCGTCACACAGGTCAGTCAACAATTACCCAATCCATCTTCAATCACTGGAGAGGGTCAGGAAACCAGCACTGTCCAGTAGACATTTTGTTATATAATGCACATATGGGTCATTCTACCATTGCAGTGATAAATGAGATATGCTGAAATCTAATTCGAGTGTAAAATGTAGTCTGTTATATAGAACATCAATAAAGTTGTAACACCACTGACCGTAACACCACTGACAAAATGACTCAAATCTGAGCTTTTCTAAAATGTAGTCTAACACCACCTTAGTTTTATTTCTTTAGGTTTAGTTTTATTTCTGCATTGTATATAGAAAATTACAAACTTAATTTTTAGTTATTTTACTTCAGTTTTAAAATCTTCCATTCATGAGTAGCACCACTGATGCAGTGATGGTGTCTTTCTTCAAAATATCCATCCAAGAAATAATGGATTATTTTCATGTTTCTGAAACACCACAGACAAAAAATCTAGAGACAAGATTTATTATCAAAATAAAATTATATCTATATATTTGAAATAATTTTAACATTTGAAAAACAATCATTTTAATGCATTTTACAAAAATAATACATCGGTGAAGTCACCAGATTGACATGCTGTTTTTTATGCTTAATGCAAATAAAATCACCAAAACAAAAGATTTACAAAGAATTATCATGGTTTTTGTTGGCTAAGTTAGGAATAGAACAAAGAATACACTCATTTTCATGGCTTAAAAACTGTGGGACGCATCTTTACAATAGCAATAATATCACATATGCCTCCATAGTCTCAATTCTAACTGCCATAGCGCTGACCCTATACTCTAATTATGTTTAGTACATTAAAACAAATTATTGAACATTCCATTTTGTCACCACCAATAGAAAGTGCCCCATAAATGATGATGTTCTATATATTTATCCTATTACTATCACAACTAATGACTGGGATTTAAATAGATCACATTCTATGAAAATGTCCATATGTCCAGTGCCGTATTTTGAGGTCAAAATCCTTTTTTACCATTTAAACTGCAATAAGGTATACATAACTATTAAATATATGATACAACTGATGTAAAATAACACAATGCCAAATAAATATTATAAAATAGTTAATGAAAGTAGAGGTCATCGGGAGTCCTGTCAATGGTGTTATTCTGAAATAAAAATCACACCGATGATATTACTTGACTCCCTTTTACCTGCTTCTTGAAGATCTATGAAGAAAGGCATACGGTAAGTCCACTGTCTCTTTTCAGTATTTTAAATTTTTCTCATGTATCTCATGATTTGATATGAGGCTTTTAGTTGGACTTACTGGTATGATCACTTTATTTTTAGTGAGTTATGAAAAAAAGAACATAAATGAATTAAATTACATAATTTAGTGAGTAGGCCTATATCATGATTGACAACATGTGGTTTGATGACCTTTGGCAGTTTAACATAAAACGCTTTTTCCAAAAACGCGTGTTACCTTCCCTCTACTTATTTATCATGATAAAGAAAAGTTATAATAATCTTAATAACTTTTTTCAAATATTTTCATAGTTATAGCAAATACATGATTGCGCAACTTTCAAACTTTTAACAAACCTGAATAAAATAAATAAATATAATAATAATAATTAAAAAAAAATAATAATATGTTGATTTGTCGCGTTATCATTATTCTTCTGTAACTCTGAGTACATGAAAGCCTTTAATATTGCCAAAGGAGTAGGTAACACCAGTGACGAGAAGCGGGACATGCGACCTTTAAATAAACGCACAAAAAGGGTAAAAAATCATTAAGCTCTCATTTTTGTGTATTTATACAGCCGATGAGTTTGTAATAACGTGGTCCGAGTTAGAAAAAGAAATACACTTTCACAGTCATCTTGCTACTTCAAAAGTGGACATTTCTGTAGAATGACCCAATTCTTGTAAATATCTAAGGTCTGAAAACTACATTTTTTTAATAGTTATTTTTTATTGTGGGACTGCAGTTCAAACTATTTCAGTCCGTATGAGCTTTTTAAATATTCATTTAGTTGGTTTTACATCTCTCTTCCCAGAATCTTGGTTTCTTTTTTAATTTGATTATTTTGTCGTTTTTGCCGAAAGGAAAGTGAAAATGAATTTACTCATCACTCATAGGGCGCCTTTTCCTGTCTCGAGCACGCGCGTGAGAGGGACGTTGGCGCGAGCCAAGTTTGAATCTCCTCGTGAGGTAAAACGGACTCAACGGCTCGCTCGGTGGGGGAACTTGGAAACTTCACGAAGAAAAGCGTCTTTAAACTCTGTTTTACTGAAGAGGAGCAGTTTTATTTACGCAGTAACGACAAAGAGTTGCCATGGCATCCACCGCGCTAGCGGAAGACCTGTCCTGTCCTGTGAGCTACGACATCTTCAGGAGTCCCGTAGTTCTCTCATGTAGCCACAGCTTCTGTAAAACCTGCCTGGAGATGTGCTGGAGGACGAAGGAAGGTAGAGACTGTCCTCTGTGCAGGAAGAGATCCTCCGAGCCTCTTTGTAACCTCGTTTTGAAGAACCTCTGTGAGTCTTTCTCAAAAGAGAGCGAGAACGGAGTTACAGCAGAGTCCACACAGCTGTAGTTCACACAGGGAGCAGCTCCAACTCTTCTGCATGTATGAGGAGCAGCTTGCGTGTGTAATTTGCCAGACTTCTAGAAAACACAGGAACCACAGCTTCGTTCCAGCTGATGAAGCAGCTCATGATACGAGGGTAAGCAAGAACACTAAGCTATGCATCGTGAATAATTTGTCATTTGCACTGTTGTTCTAAGACAAGGAAGACAGATATTTCATGTAAGTAATGATATCTTATGACCACAGAACCAGTGATAATCTGAATGAATGTACAAAAGTTGTATTCCCTTGGTTTCCTGTGTTTGGCATTTCCTGAGGGGGCCTCTTCAGTTTTATCAATTATACATTGGATTGATATGTAAAGAGACCATGTCTTGCATTATGAGGGGCTGGCAAAGTCCAACAGGCTGCAGAATAAAAAATGGGCTGCAAACACATCAAACACTTTAATCAAAAAGACAGCATAGGCTCTGCATTTTACAAATGCTTGGCAAAATAATCAAACACCTTGCAAATTTGTTTGCACTCTGAAAACTCTCTCATCAAAAGGACTATACCAGTGTTACATTTTACAGACACTCTGGAAGTACGGAAAACACATCACGGCTGTCGGAAAAAAAAAAACTTGCATCTCCAAAATTAGAACTTTACAGGAGAAGGAAAAAACATACTTTACGTTTAATGTAAGTCAATAAGAACCAGAAAAAAATTTGGGCCATTTCTTTTGGTTTATTCATCATAAAATGTGAACACTATGTAAGGGGCATCAGGTATTTTCATATTATGTTGAAAACTGAAAAATGGAGATACAAGGTTTTGTTCCGACAGCAGCGACATGTAACTTCAGAAACACTGCACAGTCAGTCACAGCACATGAAATCATTCAAACTTTTCAATTCTATGCAGCATGAACATTCACTGATAAAAGTAAGTTAACTTTTATTTTAGCAGATAACTAATATCACAGTATCATAGTGAGAATTAGCTGTAGAGTGTAACTGTAATATTTTAAATAGCAGCACTAGATATGACTGATAACTAGTATACAGCGTTGCTGTCAGAACAAAACCTCATATTTCCAAAAAAACTTTACAGAAGGAAAAATCATTCTTAACATTAAATAGAATTTAATGTAACAACTTTTTTTCTCAAGAAATTTCAGAGAATTTCTGTAGGTCCATTAATCATGAAATTCTAGTTTGTTGTAAAGGGCAGCTTCAATTTTCAATTTTTGTAAAATTTTCAATTTAAATTTTTTGTAGAAAAGTACACAGCAACAAAAATTGAGATACAAAGTTTTGTTCCGACAGCAGCGATAGGTATTCAGTTTAGTTCAGTTCAGTTCAGAGTACTTTATTAATCCCAAAAAGGGCAATTCATTTGCAGCTTTCCCATCCATACGCAAAAATATACATATATACATATACATACATACAAAAAAACCCCAAAAAACGCTATGATGTCAGATAGCTAACCAGCCAGCCAAGTTAACTGTAAACTTACTGGAATGTGAGTCTCTTTCATTTCATTTTCTATGTTTTGATTGGTCACCATATTCCTTATAACATGAATTTGTGATGCAGCTGTATGCTGATTTTTTTGTGATATCACAAAAAAAAAAATTCAGAATGTTTTTACAGTTCCTGGATATGGACTGTATGAACTGAGGAGTGAATAGTACATTTTAAAACCTTAACAATGTTTACATACTACATGTGTAATGTTTGTTTTAAAAAGTAATATTGAATAAGATGTAATATCACCAGTCTGCATGTCAAATTTTAGCATAAATCAGCCAATTATGTAAGTTTTCTACTAAAATAAAAGCAAAGGGGAGGACATCTGGCAAAACTTCAGTGAACTTTTGATTAAGGCAGTTTTTTTTAAATTAAATAATTCCCTTATAAATAAATCCTTTAAAATCCCAGGCTTATTATGCACTAAGGCTTATTATTCAGTAACTACACAGTCTACAAAGCAAACTAGCTGAGCTATTCTTAGGTTATAGAAGTGTGTAGTAAAACTTTGGGCCTGCTGGTGGCCATTTCAGAGGTTAATCAGTGGACGTTTGACAATGATATGTAGGCAGCTTCCCTCAAGAGAATGCGTATTTTAAATTGTACTACTGGTCTTTTATTACAGTCTGACAGTCTGATAGACATACCCATTTGTATCTTTTGTACTTTTGTATTTTTGTTCAAATAGTGTCTTTATAGTTTATATTATAAAGTCTTTGGAAAGGCTTCCTAGTTTAGTCCTAATAAAGCATGTTGGAATCTCCCTTACAGGTTGATCCCAAGGCTGCATTGAAGATCCTGAAGGAGAAGTTGCAGGACTTTAAGCAAGCTAAAGAAACCTGTGATCAAGAAATTCAGCACATTATAGTAAAGATCACATACCTTTCTAATCATCACACATTAAACATTCTGCTTAATTTTACTAATTGTGTTTTTGTTTTTTTGTTTGTTTGCATGTTTTTTATACTCCAGACGCAGGCCAAACATGCTGAGAAACAGATTAAGAAACACTGTGAAACCCTTCACCAGTTCCTACGGAATGAAGAAGCAACCAGGATAGCTATATCTCCATGACATAATTTCTGTGATTTTCTATGTGATTTAAATATTTTGATTAGTTAATTGGGGGTACATTTTTCTCTTTCTCTCCCTGATCTATCTTTAGAATATCAAAGCTACAATGAAAATGTACCTGAGCTGTCAGTGCTGCTGGAGTTTTTAAACACTGTGTCCACTCACTGTCCACTATATTAGACACTCCTACCTTGTCAGTCAACCTTGTAGATGTAAAGTCAGAGAAAATAGCTCATCTGCTGCACAGTTTGTGTTGGTCATCCTCTAGTGCTTTATCAGTGGTCACAGATGATGTTGGCTGGATATTTTTGGTTGGTGGACTATTCTCAGTCCAGCAGTGACACTGAGGTGTTTAAAAACTCCAGCAGCACTGCTGTGTCTGATCCACTCACACCAGTGCAACACACATTAACACACCACCACCACACCAGAGTCAGTACTGAGATTAATCCACCTCTCAAATAATACCTGCTCTGTGGTGGTCCTGTGGGGGTCTTGACCACTGAAGAATTGGGTAAATGGGAGCTAACAACAGATGAACTGCATTGGGCATCCCTACTGAAGACCCTTGGCAGACAAAAACAGGAAAAAAGCCCACTGATAGAAATGGTTCAAGCCATTTTATTTTCCAGACTGCAAACAAAGCTAGAAGTATTTTTTTCCTGCAGGATTATTTCATATGGTTGAAAAGACAAACACAAATTGAGCAATGAACATAACAAAAAAGACAATTCTATGAATTAACATGACAAAGACTGTTGATCCTGATTTGAAATGTTGGTAATTCAGTAACTGGCTTAACTCATATCAAGCACTCTTGTTACTCGGGTGGTGAGGCTTCAAACTCACACTTTATAAACCCCTCATTGCTCAGTTTAGGCTCTGCTCCCTGACAGAAAGTCAGGTACTTAAGCAGGGTTTCCTGGTCAAACTTGAAGATCATACCCTGTGGGACATGGAACGCCACAGCCAAGTGGTTCCACGCGCAGAACCTCCGCTTCTTCTTAAGCACACGGCGCACCCGTATTTCTTGTCGTCGAACCAGCCGAAAGGCATGTGTTTTGCTCATGCCCTCTGGTCTCCACAATATTTTGTCATTCTGGAACTCGCACACACCATTGCGAGAGTCCTGCAGAATCTCTTGAACTCTCTTTTGGCGTCTGGACCATGGACCACTATAGAATGCATGACTTCCTGCTTGTAGATGACCGTCTCATAGATGCGTCATCTGGGGTGTTTGCCCCATGCAGAACTGGGTGCTGTAGCTGGCCAGCAGTTCACTTATGGAGAATGTGAAACTAAGATTCCCCAGCCTAGAGGACTTCCTGAAGGCTGGTGAGGAGGTAAACTTGTGTAGGAAAGGTTTACAGTTATAATCTTTATCATCACCAAGGAAACGCCTCTCAGCATCTGCAATGTCACGCCAATCAGATCAGACATAACATTATGACCACCTCCTTGTTTCTACGCTCATTGTCCATTTTGTCAGCTCCACTTACTATATAGGTGCACTTTGTAGTTCTACAATTACAGACTGTAGTTCATCTGTGGTGGATCATTCTCAGCACTGCAGTAACACTGACGTGTTAGTGTGTCCTGTGCTGGTATGAGTGGATCAGACACAGCAGTGCTACTGGAGTTTTTAAACACCTCACTAGAGGATGATTAGCTCATACCGCTTGTACTTGCTGTACAAGAGATGAGCTATCATCTCTGGCTTTACATCTACAGGGTGGACCAACAACGCAGGTGCGTCTAATAGAGTGGACAGTGAGTGGACACAGTGTTTAAAAACTCCAGCAGCACTACTGTGTCTGAGGCACTCATACCACCACAACACACACTAACACACCACCACCACGTCAGTGTTACTGCAGTGCTGAGAATGATCCACCACCCAAATAGTACCTGCTCTGTGAGGGTCCATGGGGCCCTGACTACTGAAGAACAGGGTAAAAGGGGGCTAACAAAGTATGCAGAGAAACAGATGGAATTGTTGAACTACAAAGTGCACCTATATAGTAAGTGGAGCTGATAAAATGGACAGTGAGTGTAGAAACAAGGACATGGTCATAATGTTATGCCTGATTGGTGTATATTGTGAAAAAATCTTTAAGTACTGTGATGTTAGCCAAGCACTGCATAAAGTCACATAGATTTTACAGGTGGACTTCTGTTTGAAATCTGTTTGGAAGGGAATCTGTGATGTCTGCTGTAGAAACGGCAAATGTAGCAAATACACCTCATCTGAGTCACTGCCTTTGTTCCGAAGACAAACCTCACTAAGTAGGCTTAGAGAGACATGGCCACAGTCAAGTTCTCTGACTAACAGTGTTCTTCACAAAGTCAGATGCACCTTCTTACCAGTGAAATGTTGTGTTACAATGGAGTCATACAAGTAGAGCCTTTGGAAAGTCAGTTTTTGGCAGAACACTGCTTTTAAAAAACAAGTGAAGAAAAGTACACATCCTCTACAGAAAACACACTTTACGTGCTCTAATGCTCTGTTCATTTACTGAATTTAACATATTGGGGGAAAACCATAAAATAGCGCCTGTGCAAAAGTTATGGCACATTTTATACTTTGTCTTTTATTTTTTGTCCAATATGTTAAACTCAAACTGTGTGCACTAACATTTGCAGAAAAACATCATATTTAAGTTTCCCTGTAGAGGATGTATACACTTGTTTTTACACAAAAAATTAACAAACGTCATTTTATCAGTGGTCTTCAAATCTTTGCAGTATCTCAGCCAGGACTATGGATTCTAAACCTTTTAATTTTTTTTTACACATTTTATATGCTTGGCTCTAAATGTTACTCAGCTACATATTATTAGTTACCATTTAAAAATGTTATATAATGTTGTTCAGTATGGTTTGATGTGAAATGGTTCATTGTAGAGAACTTTAGATTCAGATTTCTATTCAGTGGTGGTGAGAGGAACCAGGGGTTGCTCAACTGTATTTTACAAATATTTGTATTCAGCCAAAAGCATCTCAAATCTATGGTTAAAAACAATGTCTCAGCCATCAGCTAGCATATTCAAAACTGTTTTTTGTAAAAAACTTTGTGATATAGTTTTAAGAGGCATAGAAACCAGACGCTTGAGGCATCTGGTTTCTGTCACCACCGCTGTGAACAATTCTGTGACTGTTCGGCAAGTATTTCTAAACTTTAACGATTTAATTATGTAGAAATTTAGAAACTTTATTTGAATTCCCCTTTCATAGCAGATAAGCCTCATTCTGGAAGGACAGACAAGTGAAAAAATAATGTGAGGAGAGCATTTCGATACTAGATGTTGTTATTAAACATTAAAATTCGAGCATGTTTTTTCTCTCTCCTGTGAAGTTAACATTTTTTCTTTTGATTACACTTTACATTGATTAAATTACTTCACTGTTACCCTTAAAAGCTTAATATTCTGAGTGTTGAATCTTGTTGGAAGTTCATTTCCATTTGTTTGCATAGCATCTCATTTGTGCTACAAATTCATTTTTCATTTTTCCCCCATTCTGAACAGATTTCAGTTTTATTTCAGTTTTGAATAAACAGTTTTATTTACAATGCCATTGGGACGCTGTGCAAAATGTACATAAAAACAAAATTGAATGATGTGCAAATCATTTAAACTCTACATTTTATTAAAAATAGTACAAAGACAACAAATCAAATGGTGAAACATATAAGCCCATTTTGAATTTAATGCCGACAACACATTCCACAAAAGTTGGGACGGGGGCATGTTTACCACTGTGTTTCATCACCTCTTTTAACAACACTCTGTGTTTGGGAACTGAGGAGAACAACCTCTGTAGTTTTGAAAGTGAAATGTTTTCCCATTCTTGTTTTATATAGGATTTCAGCTGCTTATCAGTTCAGGGTCTCCTTTGTCGTATTTTTCATTTCATAATGCGCCAAATATTTTCATTGGGTGACACCCAAACTCTTTTGAATATGGAGCAATGCTGTTATAATACATGCAGAATGTGGTTTGGCATTGTCTTGCTGAAATAAGCAAGGCCTTCCCTGAAAAAGACATCATCTGGATGGCAGCATATGTTGGCAAAACATGTATATATTGTTCAGCATTAATGGTGCCTTCACAGATGTGCACATCACCCATGCCATGTGCACTAATGCACCCCTATACCATCATACTGGCTTTTGAACTGTGCACTGATAACAAGTTCAATAGTCTTTAGCCCAGAGGTCGCAGTGTCCATGATTTTCAAAAAGAATTTCAAATGTTGATTTGTCGGACCACAGGACACTTCACTTCCCCTCAATCCATTTTAAATGGGCTCGGGCCCAGAGAAGGTGGCAGCATTTCTGAATGCTCTTTATGTACAGTTTTTTCTTTGCATTTTAGGGTTATAACATCATGTCTGTTTTTAATACTGTGGCACCCGAAGGCCTAAAGATCATGCTTAGTATGTACTGTAGATGATGAAAAGCAAAAGTTCTTTGCTATTTTATGTTGAGAAACGTTATTCTTGGATTGTTGCACTATTTGATCATGCAGTCTTGCACAGAGTGGTGAACTCCTCATTGTCTTTACCTCTGAAAGACTCTGGGATGCTCTTTTTATACCCACATTACTGACCTGTTGTCAATTATCCTCGAGGTATTTTTTAGCATTACACAACTTAACCAGCCTTTTGTTGCCCATGTCCCAACTTCTTTGGAACGTGTTGTTGGCATCCAGTTCAAAATGGGCATATATTTTATTTTTATATATATATTTTTGGGGCAGTCGTGGGCTGGAGGTTAGAGAACCAGCCTTGTGACTGGAAGGTCTCCGGTTTGATTCCCTCAGCTGACAGTACGTGTCTGAAGTGCCTTTGAGCAAGGCACCTAAACCCCCATTGCTCCCCAGGTGCTGTAGACAGGGCTGCCCACCGCTCCAGGCAAGTGTGCTCACTGCCCCCTAGTGTGTGTGTTCACTAGTGTGCATGTATGTGGGTGTTTCACTGCAAGGATGGGTTAAATGCGGAGGTCTAATTTCTCTGTGTGCAACACAGTAGGCTTATGGTTCTAAATTCTGACAATACATTTCTCAGTTTCCACATTTGATATGTTGTCTTTGTACTAT